GTTTAGCAAAAATAAATAAAAGTAAATACACAAATAATTGTACAATTTTTGGGGTGTACCACATATACATTTGCCCATCTGACACATAACTTGATGAGAGAGCTACATTTTTTGCATCATCTCTTTGTTTCATTATATCCTTTAATTCCTCGTCTAACCAGGGTGCTCCAAAGTTCCTTACTATCTGCTTTCTAAGTGGAGCATGTTTATCAATCACCTGCATAAATAACAAATTAAAGACATCAAGAGCATCATCCGGATCGACTTTCTCAAAAACATGTTTCCAACATATCTTTTGAACATCCTGTATAAATGACTCTTCACTAAAATATTTCATTGATCTCCTCACAATTACTTTTGGTCCAGCTTTTTGCACCTTTCTCTTTCTCACGATAATTATTAAATTATGATCAGAACACCCTACTGGAATTGATATTGCCTGAGAACATACATGACTAAAATTAGTAAATATATGATCAATACAAGTTGCACTTTTTGACCCATCTTTCTTTATGCATATCCTAGTAGGTTTAGTCACCATTTGTACAAAGTTACATGTATTAATTATTGTCTGCAGCTTGTTTTTAAGGGCACAGTGCAACATTTTCCAGTCAATATTTAAATCTCCGATAAAATAAATCTCTCTGTCAAGATCACAAACTTTGTCTTACATAATTTGTCTAAATAAATTAAGTTTGCATTTGGAGGTCTGTAACAACATCCTACCAACAAAGGTTTCAAGTGTGGTAAATTAATTTGCAACCAAAGTACTTCAATATCAGCAGACATCAAATCATATCTCACTTTAGCTGGTATTTGCTTTTGAATGTATACTGCCACCCCACAACCATATGCATTCCTGTCCTTTCTAAATATTCTATATCCATCAATATCCACAGCAGCGTCATTAAATGTGTCATCTAAGTGAGTTTCAGATATTGCTAACAAATGAATACCACATGATAATATTTCCTCTATCTCAGACACTTTATTTATTAGACTACATATATTTATATGAGCCAATTTAAACCCTTTACTTGGTAATTTATTCAACATTAAGATGGCAATTTAAATGTTATCTCTTTTTCACTTCCTATCAAAATGAGAGCTGAACTAAAACATACATGTAACACAATTTCAACCACACACACCATCACATACATAACCCAACATTTATCTGCACATAGATTGCAATAAATGTGCATACACACTCGCTCAATTAGACGAGCCTCCCAGTAGCTCCCAAACATTTTTTAAATAATAGTATGAAATAGATTCATGGTAATGTCTTACAACACTAGATCTAATCAATACATCAAAATTACATTTTAGGAGGAATGAACAACAATAGAGACAAGTTGAAATTTGTCTCTATTCAAAATCTAATAAACATAAATTCATACTCGCAGATGATGAAGTAAATAACTTCAAATAAATGAGTAGATAACTCATAGACCAGTGAATATTGGCCTACAAGAAAATAAAACAATTGTGGAAATCACCAAAACTGCAACAATTTCCATTTTCATAATACAATTAATTTCTTCTCCTATATGTATAATCATACCATCTATCAGGTCATGTCAATCAGTCATTTCCCACCTTCATTTCTGGTTTGAACTGAAACCGGGCTTATCACTGTTTTATAGAAATGCTCTGCTTCACTACAGTCCCGATAAAGTTTGGTTTGTCCATTGAAGGTTACGATGAGCGTTGCAGGGAACAATAGTCCATGCCTCCCCTCAGCCTTGCGCAGCTTCATCCTGACGTCATTGAATAGGGCTCTCTTCCTGGCAATATCCGGAGTAATATCAGGAAATATCTTCACTCGCATGTCACGGAAAATAATCTCTCCCTTGCTTCTTGCCAGCTTCAAGATAGCTTCCTTAGCTTGATATCTCTACATAGTGACAATCATAGGTCTGGGTCTCAAATCAGTCCCCTGCCCAATCCTGTATGCAATCTCGACTGCCGGTTCACATGAGGGCTCACTTCCGAACACCTCCTTTAAAAAGTTGTTCACAAAGCCAATGGGATCGCTCTTCTCAATGTCCCTTTTCAGTCCAATCACACGTAGATTAAACTTTCTGCTTTGAATCTCCATCCTCACTATTTTGTCTTTGAACTCTTTGTTTTCCTTCATTAGATCGCCATTTGTGGTTTCGAGTATAGCAACCCTACAATCCATGTCGGTTATCCCCTACTCCATATCACTGAGGTTCTGACAACATGAGTCAAGTTCTCCCTTTAAAGCATCAAGCTGCGGCTGGAATTTCTCGAAAGCAGTCCCTATCTCCTCTCTTATTCTGGAGCGTATTAGTACCGACTGCTCCGAGTGGTTCACCTGCGAGGCCCCGCTCTCCATGGCGTTCTCCTCTGCTGCTTGTGTGTCACTCACTCCCGAAAGACCGCTGCTCTCATTCAATGGCACTTTAGCCTTTTTGTTAGATTTCTTCGGTGGCATTACATTCCCCACATCATATTTCGCTATAAACTTTGAGTGATCAACTTGCTCATCTGATCATAACCTGATTTCTCAAAAAGTTTGCTACGGGAGATACACGTTCTCAGACTTCACACACAACTTCCGCGCACGCGCATTCTGTCAACGATAATCGTGCAGCTTTGCGACTGCCCTGTTGTCTAGAGGAAATAAGATGAGTCATTGATTGGACTGATACACAATGCAGTGTGACTCATTTTCTTAGAAACTGAGTGGACGCACACACAAGTTATAAACACTGGGAAAAAAGCAGGATCTGGCAGGCTTCTTCTTCACCACAGTGACTCAACGCTTTGTGCAAAGATATAAACAAGTTGTTAAGCTCCTGACCTGTCGCAGGATTCCTATCTGCTCGATTTCCTCCCTCAAGTGCTCCATCTTCCTCCTCATGGTGAAGCTGGGGTCTGTGGAGGCGTACTCCTGGCGGCTTCCTTTGGCGAATGCTGAAATAATAAATTGAATCTTTTGAGTTCCAGATAATTTACAGCGAAACAAAGAAGACGTTTTTATAGTGGATCAGCAACCTTTGAAGGGGTAAACAATTCTCGACTTCCATTGGACAAAAAGCCAAAGCCCTTTGAGTGAAGATATTCAAGCGGTAAATCTTGATGTTATCTGTGTTTAGACGCCACGGTAACCAAGTGTAGAACATTTCAATCACTGCAAACACGTCCTGTTACAATATGATTATTATCTTTTGTCCTCATAATACAACAACAAAGTACAGGCCAGTACATTTCCTAAACAGATTTTCTTCCCCTAAAATGTTTTGTTTTAATTTAATCCCCCACAAATCTTTTCACTTCAATGGTTCCCTTGTTTCTGGAAATGAAGCTTCTTACAACATATAATACGGTTGTTTTCCAAAAATCTTCTTTTTAATGTGTGACAATATTCAAAGAGTTGTTTTCTGCTCTTATTGTCAAACTAATTCACACTTTAATTTGACTTAATCAGACTTTCATACAACCGTCATCTCCCTGAATATTTGACATCTACTGTCTATCTGTGTTTAAAAAAAAAAATTAGATACAGGGTTCCATTTGATTATGTTTCTTGTTTAGTTAGAATGACATCTTCCTTACAGTCCCAAAGAGAAGAACAAACCTTCTGTACAAATGCAGTGACTTTTACTTTACTATATTATAGCTTTATCAAGGCAATATTTAGGAAGTAATAACGTACATTTTAAACATGACAAACATTTGCACGGCTCAAGCTTCTCCAAGGGAGGGTCGTTGACCTCTTTATCCTTAATTAAAATAACTGAATAAATTAGATGTTTGATTGTGGAGACAGAAGTAATTATATAAGGTGTACATGTGATCCTTTTGTACTAGTTGCAACCTTATATAAAATTTAAAAAAAGAATTGCACTTTAGCCAACTCAAAATAAAATGCTGATTTAATGCATACCTAGTAATGATAAATACAATGTTGCTACTTTGTACTTCTACTACACTAGAATCCAGAGGAGAATAGTGTACTTTTAATGCACTATGTTTGTTAAACACCTTTAGTTACTTTGCAGTTTTTTATAAGTGATGTGAAATATAAACACTTCACACTTAAATGAGACTTTAGTTAATCTTGCAGCATACAAAGTCATATCATTAGCTGCACTTCTACCAGCTTTGATAACACATCAATAATTACAATCAAAACATATAATATATATATGATTCTGGAATGGGGCAATCTGCATAATGAGTAGTTTAAAAGTGACCTATCATGCAAAATACACCTTTGTACGTCTTTTATACATGAATATGTGTCCCCGGTGTTCCAGGGAACTCACCAAGTGTCAGAAAACACAACCCTCTCTATTTTCCTCCATACCCAAATCTCTTAAAAAGGGGCTGCAACGGATCTGATACAGACTGATCCAGATTTCAACACTTCTATGACATCACAGAAGTGGCGCTACGGCTATTGGGCCAACTCCACCAATCAGGAGGAGACAGCCACGGACATTGCCGTTGGAAAGTGCTGGAGACGCTGCAGTACATATGCCAGGCCTGTAGATGGTGCTGTTCTCACAGAATCAGTCCATGAAAAGACAGTGTTAAATTGAGCAAAATGAGGAATGGCAAAAATGCATGATCGGTTTGGTATTTTGAAAAATAAAAAGTATAAATATGCCTTATATAGGTATGGTCATACACTATATTATTCAAATATAGCATGATAGGTCCACTTTAAGGATATTTTGATGCTAATACTTTTACTCAAGTGACATTTTGATTGCAACTTGTAACAGAGTATTCCTACACTTTGGTAGTTCTACTAAGTACCAGGTCTGAGTATTTCTTCCACCTCTGCATACTTTAATAAACATGCAGGACTTTTTAAATTGGAGCAAAGTATTTCTACAGTGTGCTACTTTAAATGAAATGTCCTCCACCACTGGGGACAGATAGCTATGATGACAAATGATTTCCATGAGTCTTTCCAAATAAAACAAAACGATGTCATTGACAGATGACAAGCATGCTGCGCCTTGTCCTTGACAGATCTCTGATAGAAAGCAGATCAACAGTTCCTCAGAATCCTTCCCCATTTCTAGAGAAAGGACGCTGGGACTTCACATAAACATAATCCCTCTTGGCTTCAGAAAGGATATATGAAGCACTGCCTCAGCTTTTATACAAGCCTTTGCAAGCTTAATATAGACTCATTAAGCATATCCCATTGTGTTGCAGGTAATCAATGTAAAACTCATGTTTCTACTTGTTGAAACAGCAAATGCACAGGGTAGACAATTATCCTTTTCTCTCATTTCTTTAATATGATTTACCATTTTTACTTGAGCATCTGGATTCATCAAGTTATAAGGGGTTACATCATTCTTAGTAGGATTTTATTTTTAGACCTCTATTCAGAAGAGGTAATCAAATGAGCATAGACTGTTGGCTGTTCATTTTCTAACAATCAAGCGGAGGTGATGTTGAAAAATGTCCACTGCACATATAAAAGAGGTTATCTCTATGGACCCATGTTCCATGCACATCCCTGCAGTGGAAAGGAAAAACACTGCGTCTAGAGTTAACTCGGTTATGCTACAAGCCATTGTGTTTTACCTGATCTTGGCTTCAGTCCAAACACTGTTAGAGTGGTGCTGAAATCTGCATTGCTCAAACCCTCCTGGAAACAAATGATTTATGTAAATCAGAAAAGGGTATTTTCTTAGAACTGAACATTGATGAAAAAACATTTCGCATGTTTTCTTCAAGGTGTTTCTCACACGTACCTCACACTCATCGTTGCCGTTGGAGTTTTTACGAGCCGTCTGACACTTGTACTGTCAGGAAAGAAAACACATCATTTTACGATTTTACTGACATACATGCAATTAGATGATTAAAAATAAGACAATCGTTTCTTAAATGTCATCTTAAATCAAAGTCAGTAAACCATAAAGCTAAAGAAACATTTGAAATGATCCCAAAACGTTCTGCATGGCTAGACACCGAGTTCTGTATGTAATAAATCATCAAGGAGTTTGAATGTTTCCTCAGGCAACTAAAGAGGGCTTGTTCTGCAGAAAAACATTTCAATTAGAAAGCTTAGAGACGTCTGTTCACTCTCACACCTTCAGATAGTCTTTTCTCAGGTACTTGTTCCTCCTGCGCTCCTCATTCTGATTGAGAACCGGCGGGACGTCGGGCCACTTTGGATCTGAATCTGAAGAATCGGTCTTCAGGCTGCCATCAAAGGAGCAGGAGGAAGACGGCTGCAAAATGAGGCGGATTAAATTAAAATCATTTTCTCTGCATCCTCCAGAGAGAACACATCACATGAGAAATGGGAGACGTAATAAACTAAGTCACAGAACTTGTTTTTTGTTTGATATGTTTGCTTTAAAGTAAGACGAGTGTGTACCTGTCCACTCAGCACTGAGGCTCCACTGCTCCCTTCATCCAGAGAGGCACTGGAATAAAGACACGTGGAGCATAGGATGACTCTATCTGTGTTTTACATTAGAATTACATTAAAAGGCAATATGAGCCTAAATAAATCCTTCTGGTTACTCTGTCTGAAATTTCGATTTACAAGTGCTTGTTCGCTACCTGACATCATGTGTGATTAGATTTATAAGGTTTATTAGAGACATTTCCTTTTCTTATTTCATGGACGTTAGCACTCACGCTATGAGTGCCTTGAAAAGCGATACCTTGGTGTTTTTATTCAAATAACCTGCTTACAACATAACTTAAAGGTGACCTATCATGCAAAATGCACTTTGTACGTCTTTTATACATGAATATGTGTCCCCGGTGTTCCAAGGAACTCACCAAGTGTCAGAAAACACAACCCTCTCTATTTTCCTCCATACCCAAATCTCTAAAAAAGGGGCTGCAAGGGATCTGATACAGACGGATCCAGATTTGAACACTTCTATGACGTCACAGAAGTGGCGCTACGGCTATTGGGCCAACTCCACCAATCAGGAGGAGACAGCCACGGACATTGCCGTTCGAAAGCGCTGGAGACGGTGTAGTACATATGCCAGGCCTGTAGATGGTGCTGTTCTCACTGAATCAGCCCATGCAAAGACAGTGTTAAATTGAGCGAAATGAGGAATGGCTAAAATGCATGATCTGTTTGGTATTTTGAAAAATAAAAAGTATAAATATGCCTTATATAGGTATGGTTCTACACTATATTATTCAAATATAGCATGATAGGTCCACTTTAATGGATGTTGTATGATTATTAAGCATGATGTCCTTTATAGTCTTAGTAGCCCATTTGGTAGTTGCTAGTTTGGTATTTGGCCATAACATTAATGTAATGCAGCTTAATTTCATAACATGTACAGTAACTTTAATCTGTATATTAATATTGTATATTAAATAGACACTCTACAGGTAGGCCTATACATCTTTTACTGGTGATACGTATATATACACTGCTTTGTTTATTTTATACTTTTGATCTATATATTTACTTATACTATGTTTATTTTGTATTTTATTTAATGTTGTATTCATGTGCAATGCCTTGTCTACATGCTGCTGTGACAAAATAATGTTCCAGTCTGGAATCAATAAAAGTTGATCTAATCCTAATCTAATCTCTAACAGCCGAGAGAAAACATTATACCAATTAAAACAAAATGATTACTAGGTTTCTGTTAATTGTTACAACTGTAAAAACCTGTGGTACAGTAGGGTACTTACCTCCGATGCTGGGGGGGGGGCCGCGGCTTGTTACCCGAGCTTCCAGAGTGACTCAGAAATCTGCCGACACAAACAAAAGTGTGTGTTGGTTAGGGCTGAACGATATACCGTGTCATGGCGATAACCGCGATATGCGTATGCGCGATATTTACATCGCAGGGATGTGCGATTTTTTTATTTTTTTTTTAGGGCGTTCGACATTAAGTAGGTAAATTAACTCAAACACGTCCTGTTACAATTATTTTGCTGCTTGCTACAAAAGGAAAACTTGCTCTCATGTCAGGGGTACTTGAGTGGAGTGACATGCAGGCTCTGAGTCTGCATGCACAGCAAACAACTATTTCAGATGCCTTTGCCGGTTTTACACCATATGAGAAAGGTTCAAAACGGCATAAAGGAGCTAGTGTATAGCTGTTCTTAATTTTATTTTTATAATGTTGTTTAAAAGATGTCCACTACTTTGCTGCTATTTGCACAAAAAAGGTTTTAATTGTGGAATAAAAAGTTAAATTACCTATTTAGTCACGTATGTTAATTCCCTAATGTGATAATGAAGCTTCCTATAGTTTAATGTAATACGTTTAATCTCTTGGATCCCTTCTAGACACCACTCTTCTTCATTCACAGATGAACCCCCTTATTTGAGGGTAAGCAACCTGCATTATCATGACATGTTAGATCATGACTTAAGGTATGATGAGTGAACTAGTTAAGATCTAGACGTCCGTGACTAAAATCCTTCATCAGGTTAAATATAGTTAAAAAAAACGCAATATATATGGCAGGGGAAAAAAATATCGCAATGTCAGTTTTTTTCAATATCGTGCAGCCCTAGTGTTGGTACAAAGTTGCACTTCAACAAGCCCTGTGACTACAGCTCTGACTCATGTTACTTAACAACCTGTACACAAAACAAAAATAAACAATTCATTTGGGTGTGGAATTCAATAGAAATTTGGCCTCTTCAGCATCAAAGGGCGATCACAGAAAAAAGTCCACTTCTCTTCCCACTCACTCATGCACATGGTTGAATACCCACTGTAACATAAAACAACCTGTAGATTACGATAAAGGAAGTTTCTCCACCCACCTGTGAGCCCGGCCGGTCACCCTCCGTCGGTGAATAAGACTCTCCGCTCGGCAAATCAAGGATCGTCGTCTAGAACAGAATAGATGTCGAGTTGAGGAAGAACGCAGCGAACACGAGAGGATCAGGATGGGGCAGAGAGTCAGTGAGAGACATGCTAATAAGGATTTCAATGGCACACGTGAAATGGAGATGTATTTGGGGATGTAAGACAAAACATCAGCATTGATATTGAGAAACAGAGAATGAAAACGCACAGTGATGAGAGCAAATTTACTCAAATGTGAACAGATCTATGGAGGCGTGTGGTGCAGTGGTTTGTGCGTTGGTGTTCGGATCAGGGGGTCACAGGTTCAAACCCCACTGCAGTCAGCATGTCATTGTGCCCCTTGGCAAGACACTTCACCCCAAATTGCTCCTGTGGGGATTGCCCACAGTATTGAGTATGTAAGTCGCTTTGGATAAAAGTGTCTAACAACTGACATGTAATGCAATTTAAGGAGAATGTAAAAGCAAAAATATTTTTATTTTAGATGATAAAGTAAGTATGGGATGTCTTCTGTTGCTCTACTTAAAGAAAAGTGAGACCCACACACCTGTTCTGCTGCTCCTGCTGAAGAAGCTGAACGGCAATCTTCCTCAGATCCAGCACTTCCTTCAGCTCGTCATCCTCCTCCTCAACTAGCTGCTCCTTATCGGAACTGGGAAAAAGATCAGGATGAAAGTTATTAACACCGGAAAAACTCTGGATATTGACTCACAGGTTTAAACATTTGGAAAACTCATTGTCTTGCCCAAATTCATAAAAAGGTCTGTCAAAACACGAAAGCCTTCTTTTACATTACATTACATGTTACTTGTTAGACGCTTTTATCCAAAGCGACTTACATACTCAACACTTTGGACAATCCCCACAGGAGCAATTTGAAGTGAAGTGTGTCAGGAACACAGCGACATGCTGACTGCAGTGGGGTTCGAACCTGTGACCCCTGATCCCAACACCAAGGCTCTATCAACCGCGCCACATGCCTCTCACTTCTTTGATACACAAACTAAATGATGTTTACATTTTTTAGACCACTTAAGGATGAAGTTGTTGATGTCATGTAGTGTTAGTCACTTCAGCCAATGATTGTCAAAAATGTGCTGAAGTTTTAGACAGCCAACCAACGTGGGCCAGAATACCAATATAGCTTTAAATATATATTTTAATTTTATCGTGGCACCCAACTCCTTTTTTATAAATGATCAGAACTTAATTTGAACAGTTCTAAGACCAATACGTATAGGTGATAGCTGACCCTTTACTCTTAGTTCACAAAGGGAATCTGCTGGGTTCACTTTTGTTTAAAGGTGACCTATGATGCAAAATGCACGTTTGTACGTCTTTTTTACATGAATATGTGTCCCCGGTGTTCCAGGGAACTCACCAAGTGTCAGAAAACACAACCCTCTCTATTTTCCTCCATACCCAAATCTCTTAAAAAGGGCTGCAATGGATATGATACAGACTGATCCAGATTTGAACACTTCTATGACGTCACAGAAGTGGCGCTACGGCTATTGGGCCAACTCCACCAATCAGGAGGAGACAGCCACGGACATTGCCGTTCGAAAGCGCTGGAGACGCTGTAGTACATATACCAGGCCTGTAGATGGTGCTGTTCTCACAGAATCAGCGCATGAAAAGACAGTGTTAAATTGAGCTAAATGAGGAATGGCTAAAATGCATGATCTGTTTGGTATTTTGAAAAATAAAAAGTATAAATATGCCTTATATAGGTATGGTCCTACACTATATTATTCAAATATAGCATGATAGGTCCACTTTAATGTTTNCATGAGCATTGGCTATTCTTCCTGGGGTCCTCATACACTCAAAACATACATACAACAAAATTAAAACAAAACAAAACAAAATTAAAACAAAACAAAACACTGTTTTGTTTTGTTTTAATTTTGTTTTGTTTTGTTTTAATTTTGTTGTATGTATGTTTTGAGTGTATGAGGACCCCAGGAAGAATAGCCAATGCTCATGCTAGTGCTAATGGGGATCCTAATAAAGACATAAAGACATAAAGAATAAATGTGAATGGGGGTTTATTCACTGTGAGCACATTCTTAAAGGCCTGTTAATGAGTAACACCCTCTTCGTTGATGGTATCATCTTTTTCCCCTGGATTTAATAACTGTAAGGCCCAATTCCAAACCGATCCTTATCCACTCCAACTCCATCACAGGTCTAACTCCTTTTGTTGTCAAACTCACAGCTAAACGAGGCTCCTTCTTTCAGGCGGAGGGTGAAAATACAGAACTCCACTCTCTCTGACAGAAATAGGAACTTTTGTACGTTTTCGTAACAACAATTTCAAATCAGCAGCACTTGGACAATAAAACTCCAAAAAACGTTTAAATCTGCTGTTTATGATCTGCTTGGTTTTTGCAACAGTCCCTCTAAATAACCAAACTACAATCAAACGAACATACCGTTTTCTAGACTAGACACTGCTATATTATCCTTAGTAAACAAATAAAAAACAATGTAACCTTCAAGTTAACATCTGTATGACAATATTAAATCTCTCTTAATTTGCGCAGTTTATTTAATGTTTGCAAGGAACTATTTGTTAACTCAATGTTCCATGCATCTTCTCCCGCTTATCCGTGGTCGGGTCGAGGAGGTAGCAGTTCCAGCAGAGAGCCCCAAACGTTCCTTTCCCTGGCCACATCAACCAGCTCTGACTGGGGGATCCCAAGGCGATCCCAGGCCAGCGAAGAGATATAATCCCTCCACCTCGTCCTAGGTCTGCCCCTCGGTCTCCTCCCAGCTGGACGTGCCTGGAACCCTAGGGAGGCGCCCAGGTGGCATCCTAACTAGGTGCCCGAACCACCTCAACGGGCTCCTTTCGACGCGAAGGAGGAGCGGTTCAACTCCGAGTCCCTCCCGGATGACTGAACTTCTCACCTTATCCCTAAGGGAGACACCAGCCACCCTGCGGAGAAAACCCATCTCGGCCGCTTGTATCCGCGATCTCGTTCTTTCGGTCATGACCCATCCTTCATGACCATAGGTGAGGGTAGGAACGAAAATGGCCCGGTAGACAGAGAGCTTTGCCTTCTGGCTCAGCTCCCTTTGCGTCACAACGGTGCGGTAAAGCGATTGCAGTACCGCTCCCGCTGCTCCGATTCTCCGGCCCATCTCACGCTCCATTGTTCCCTCACTCGAGAACAAGACCCAGAGATACTTGAACTCCTTCACTTGGGGTAAGGACTCATTCCCTGCTTGGAGCGGACAGTCTATCGGTTTCCTGCTCACATCCTAACTCAATGTTAAATAACAGTCTACTGATCATGGACAAACAAACTCTGATAAGGAGTAGCTCAGGTTCCCTTAGGGCATGTTTTTCTGCTTATTTTCATAGTGTCAGCTGCATGTCCCACGGGCGGGTTACACGTTGAATGCTGTTCCTGAGAACCTCAGCCTTCTACAGTACTTTCCTGTAATCACAGAGTTTAAGATTTCATTTTCCAAGGAAGAAATGCAGGATGGATACCAAACAATGCAGGACTCACAGTTCATTATGCCAAGTGTGAAGTTTGCACGAGTCTCATGTCACGTCCTTTTCTTCTGCAGAATACTATTGACTATCAGTTAATAATACCCTGGTCCATTACATTGAATTGGGCCTAAATTCAGATTGAATCGATAGTAGTAGAAGTGAAATACCAGGTATGTCCAGAGCATAACAAGAAAAGTGAAGGCAAACTGACATCCTAAACTCAATTGCACCAAGAGAAAAAACAGAGGTGAGAGCAGCAGCAAGTCAGAGACTGTCAGACACACCTAAGTATGTGAGAAGACTGTAGCCTGGGCATGAAACCAAAGCTTGAGGATAAGATCAAGGTAACCCGAATAGTGGGGAGTAACACAAACAGAGATGTGATATATATCAGATAATGCTTTCAGGCGCTTTGTTAGGCAGAGAGCTCGAGTATGCCATGTATAAGATAACCAAGATTGGGAGGGTTGCTTTTAAAAATGCAATCCTTGTCAATTACTAGTTGCATGTAAAAAAAAAAAAAGTAATCTAATCTGAGTACCAAAATATGAGAGTAATTTAACCGGATTACTTTCCGTTACTTTTGTGTTGCCTTCAAATCAAATCAAATCAAGTTTTATTTATATAGCACATTTAAAAAAAAATGTTGGTCGAGCCAAAGTGCTGTACATATAATTTGTTATCAAATGCAATGCAAATAAAGACAAAAGGAAAGAAATATCAACAAGATGTTTTTTTACTAACACAACAGAACAATGTGACCTTAGAAGAAGAAAAAAACAAGATATTTAGTATCAAAAAAAGTGTCCTCTGTTCAGAGATTTTATTTATAGGAAAACCTGTCTTTCAGTAAGCATATTCGGGAAGTAGCCTATACACCAACAATGAAACACATGAGCACATACTACAGTTTAAAAAAGCTGCTTCTGAGCTGACATAAAATGCTCTGTTTAATATACAGTTAAATTCACATACACTATTTTAGGAACACATGGGTTCACCTACTGATAACCCTAATTACAAAAAGAACAAATGAACCTAAGAAAGTGAAAACCATAAAGCAAGCTCAAACAGTAGGCGTTTAGATTGACACTTAAAGTATTAGCCTACCGAGCAGAATAACTTACAGATAAAAGGAGACATAAATCAGACTATTTTTGAGTTTTTAGTAACATTGTAATTCTGCTAGTAATCCCCAGTAATTTTCCCTTTATTTAAAAAAATCTCAAGGTCTTCTTGTCCATGTTGGCTGACAAGCCTTGACCCTTGACATCGACCACAAAGTAAAGTCTTGACTCTTACATGGATGAACTTTCTATCTCAATAAAATCATTGTTGTTGCTGGTGAGAGATTACACAGCTTTCTATTCCCAGGGAAAAGGTCAGAAGGGGAACTGCTTTCAGAAAAGATGCAGCAGTCACAGACCAGATTTCACATTTGTGAAGTGCAGAACAACTCTTTGTCCGTCAAAATTCCTTCAAAAATCATTTACAACAAATTCTTCAACTGCTTTGAAATCATTGTGATAATCAGTAATATATTCATCACTATTGTCGATACAAAATGAGGCTAAACAGCATCATGTGTTCCCTGCTCCCCACTGACTCCATCATGGTGTCAAACACTCATTGGACTCTGCCAACTATCTGCCGGACCTGTTCTACCCTCATGCACAAACACAAAGAGGCTTTCTGCATGTTAACGGTTCCAAATATGTATTATTTCAACGCCTTCTGTGATGTGTGAAACCCTGTGGTATTTGTCTTCTTGTACTTTGTGAAACTCAATCACCAAGAACCATTCGGGCACAAAAGGCGTTGAGACACAGCTGTTTATCAAAGGGCAGCAGCAAGGTCAGGGTAAAAGAAAATACTGTAACACACAGCTTTATCTGGCACCATGCATTATGATGGCATTCTCATTTAGATGTTCAAAACATGGAAGGATGAAAGGGAAATATATATATATATATAATTGCATTACAGAAAATAAAGAACTTTATCACAATATTCTAATTTTCTGAGACAGTCCTGTATATATATATATATAGGGGTTGGACACAAGCAGAGGGACAGAGACTATAGTTATGGTGAAGAGAAAGAGAGAAATAGAGGGGGACTTTTGTCAATCTTCAGTAAAAGTTCAAACAATGAAAACACTGTAGTGGTAGAAGGTTACTTTATAAGAACTCTTATTTATCAACATAACACTAGAAAATGATTATTACTTTATGTAAGACATGCAACAAAGTCCAGACTTAAAGCTGGGACGTTGCAGTTAGAGGCCATGTGCTGGGACCACTCATCTACTACCAAGTTAACATAAACACATATTCTCAAAGTATTTGCAGTGATGAATATATTTGTCAACTTGCCTAAAGATGACTAACTCAGATAGTGCAGTGGAGGTCAGGACACTCTCTAAGCACATCAGCTGGTCCTTTTATAAAGCTAGTAATTAAAGAACAGAGAGGTGTCTGAAAACATGTGAGTGAACATCTGTATATAAATACTGATGTGATGAGGTCATTGTGGATCTGTTTGCAGAACATTGAGACCAGACTGAAGGTGTTGCTCCCAGAGGATGTTGGAGCCGCTCTGATGGACGGGGTGGTCCTCTGCCATCTATCCAATCACATCTGTCCTCGGTCAGTTGCCAGCATCCATGTGCCGTCTCCCGCTGTGGTAAGCACACTGAAAGCACAAACAAGCTCTCTCACTTGACATAATTAAAGGGGCCTTATTATGCTTCTTGAGGTTTTCTCTTTCCTGGAGAGTGTTATATATTTTCAAAGGCTAAAATCCCCCCCCCCCCTGTGCCTGAAACACCTCCATTGGAATCCTTTGTTGACTTCAATAACATGGCATCGCTATATAAGACTCGCGCTTCGATTGGCTGGCAATCCAACACTGTACGTGATTGAGGGGCTGGACATGTCTTAGGCTGGAGCCACACAAAAACGGTAACGCAAACAAACCAAAATCGTTATCAAAAAAGTCTTCCGTCCACACGCAATAGGCACAAGAAACGTGTCCTTCCACACGAGACCGCTCGACCCACTGGAGACGCGTATATATGCCCGGCATATGCCGGGCCTGTAAGTGGCGGAAGTAGTACTGTACTTCCGCCACAAAATACACCAAAAGCAGGGTGCACTGTCCTGCGAGATACCGGGACCTGTATCGAAACACTCGGAAAACTGTTGTTGATGTTGTTGGCGAAACACATCAGCAATGACGTGCGTGACACGGGGGTGAGCAGAAGAGGTGGGGAGAGGCGGGGCTATTGCGTCATCGTTATCAAAAAAATGATCGTATACTATAGAGCGTAGACACGGAGCCGTTTGGCCCCCCAAAGCGCTTCGACCGCAGATTTACCCACCTTGGGACCCGTTATCGTTATCTGCGTTTCCCTGTCGAACCGTCTATATCAGTGGTTCCCAACCTGGGGGGCAAAGATCGCAGGGGGGGGGGGCGCCAGGCCTCAGATGATTATTTTACTTATAATTGTAAAGCAATACATGATTGTCACTAAAAGCCTTGTCTCTACATTACAATAAAACATAACAAATAATTGATTAATTCATTTGAATTAAAATTCAAGTTAGTAGCTATTAAAGGCATAAAAAGAAAGACATGTATAATTCTTTCTTTAATAGAAATGTTTCTTCTGCCCGTAAAGTGTCCAAACCGGGCTTTTCTGGATAAGCGCATTTTTAAAACATAGTCATTGTCCACGCCGGTTTCAGTTGGGTTATTTGTCACAGTTGCTCCGATCAGATTAGTCTCCTCCATTTTGTAGATTATTTACGACTTTTGAATCCACATAAACACATCGGCAAAATCCGGCTTACTTTGAGCATGTGTTTTAAACAGTTTAATCCCTTTGTGAATTGTTTCCACTTGCGCCGTCCTTTAATTTCTTCATACAGTGGGAATTCAAATGAATGAATCCTGAGTCCAATAACCATCAAAGTCACATAGTGCTCCTTAATTATGCTTTCATCCTCCTTTAACAAAATACTTCACAGTCATCCAGTTTGTGACAGTGGTTGTAGCATTTTTGAGACTTCTAAACTTTAATTAACGGGCGCGCAACTTCCAACCGGAGTCATTTGGGGGGGCTCTTGGGAAAAAAGTTGGGAACCGCTGGTCTATATGATAGAGAACTGTAGCGGATACGACCGTTACCGTTCTCGTGTGGCTCCAGCTTTAGTAGTTGAACTATCACAACAGAGCCAGCCAGCTAACCAATCAGAGCAGACTGGGCTCTGGTTTCAGACAGAGGGTGAAAAGAGGCAGATGAGAAAAATAAAGACCTTTCTGAACATTAAAGCATGGAAACATGACACAGTAGAGGCACAAAATACAAATATTTCATTTCATTTTTATTTGTTCCGTTCATGGTATGCACAACTTAATGTTTAACAATTACTTACAAAACATGTCTCTATAAACACACCATACCCAAACAGGAGCGGGGAGAAGAAAGTCATCTTATATTACCTGCCCCTTTCTCAAAAAAAAGTAGACAAATAGACGGTCTGTCCTTCATATTTTGTTATTCTCAGCCAATCATTACAGTATTATAGGAAAATAAGAGAAACAGAAAAGTGCTACATCCTCATCTGACTCCTACCGGAGTAGAATTCAGATGAGGATGTTGCACTTTTCCTTGTACATGTGATGTTTTTTTTTTCTTTCCGTTAAAGTTGGGGTAGGTAAGTTTGAGAAACCGGCTCGAGATACACTTTTTGTTATATTCCATGGAATGCTCTTAACATCCCGATAGCAATGAATATCTTACGTGCTTTGACAAAAAATTTATAAAAAAATGTCATATGTGGAAGCCGTAGTTCTGTAAAAAGCACGACCTAATAGGGTCCCTTTAAGAGTTGGGAGTAATTATAAGCATTGTTGTTGACTTATAAATCCCCACAGCTTTATGAAAAGTGTTGTGTGTCCTGATTATATTTTCTAACATGATTGATATTCCGGCCTCCAGCCAAAGCTTAGCATGGCTAAATGCCGTAGGAATGTGGAGAACTTCTTGGATGCCTGTAAGAAGCTGGGTGTCACACAGGTAATATATTAAGTATTTCATTACTACTTACTTAAAGAAATTGTGTATTTTGTTTGTTGTGAGGGAATTGATCCTTTACAAAGTTATTATACAGAATAGAATCCTCTTTATTTACATTTTATTTAAATACTGCGACTTTTGCAAGGTTGCTTTTACAAATACATTTAAGCAGTAAAAAAACGGTTATTTCAGCATAAAAAAGGCAATAGTTTAATTAAATGCACTCATTTACAAGTTTACAGAGGTACACATTTCCAGGGGTGAATGTTCTAAATATAATATGCAAATATCAGTTTTATAGAGAATTAGGCAATGTACTGTTACTAACAACTCTCACACATGATTTAGTCAGCCACAAAGATTCCAAGGTTTGCCATGGAAAACAAGCAACAGTTTAGATTAGAGGTTAATTTAATTAAATATTTCACAGTTGGAAAATCTCCCAACCTCAGCAAATTAAACTATAAATCATCTGCTAAGATAAAGTGTAACTGATGTGTCTCGACTCAGGACAAGCTGTGCCTTCCCCATCACATCCTGGAGGAGCGCGGCCTGGTGAAGGTTGGCATGACGATCCAGGCTCTGCTGGATCTGCCACCATTAAGACCCACCCCCCTGTCAGCTGTTTGACAAGAGCCCGAATGCTGCGTACAACCCGCAGCCCTCCATTCGACCCCCCACCACCACCAGGGAGCAAAGCGCCCCCCTGGGGGAGGACCCAGCAGGGGTCTGCTTCTGCCTGACTGAACCAGGAGACAGGAGGGGAACTTCCTCTGTCTTTTTATATGATGTCAGCTGCCACCCTACTTCCTGTCCATCAGATTTCCACTTGTATACTGTTCCTAGTTGCTGGGGGTCAATGTGTGTTCCTGCGCTGCTTGGACTCCCCGAGGAGAGACAGAAAAGATCCAATGTTTTGATGAAGACATGTATTTACCTCTCAACATGCTCCGTGCTTATTGAACCTGCAAGGGCCAGTACTGAGAACATTTCCATGCTGATGTGTGAGATATTGGCGGTGAGGAGATGACAGAGATGTGACTCACTCTTTCACTAAAGAGATCCAACCTTGAGTAATTTTGCTTTGCATAATCTCACTTCTGTATCTGCTCCGAAATCCTGACTATTGCTTTCTTGAGGGAGAGGCAAGGCGTGCCTCTAAAAAAGTATGTCCACCAAAAACATTTTCTTTCTGTAGGTCATTAGTCATTTGACTTTCTGGGTGTTTCCTGTTGAAAATGATTTTAACAAAAAATAAAAAGCTGCATGCTATGACATTTGACCACTGTGAGAACATGTGTTGGTTGTAGCCAAAAGCACAATGGTCCTGTTTTATAGCATTTTTTTTATTGTTCGTGCAAGGTTTCTGATAAATATTCTGTCATCCGACTTTTCTAAAGCTTTTATACTTTCTTTCCAGTCATTGCCAAATATCATTGCCAGTTTTGTGCCATAGTCGACATAAATCAATCCACGCAAACCTTCCACACATGGCACGCTTGTATCTTCCTGCCAGGCCGCCCTGCTGTTTGTGCTTTCTTTTACAACTCATTATTTCAGGGAAATTCTATTATTTACGTATTTATTCTTTTGTTTTATTTTTATATGTTGTCACTTTTTGCATCCTACCCCTTGGTACCAGTGTGATGCAGCTGCACATTTAGATCTCAAATATTTCGTTTTTTTGTGCTGAACTTGTTAACTTTGAGAAGGTTTCTCAACTTAGTCCAGACAGCAGCAGGTCACCTTTTTAAATTAGGTCTCCAAAATGCTGAACAATAATAGTGGAAATTAAAGTAAAGATTTATTAATCAATAAATATGAGTATCAGGAGTCAACTTCAACTTTCACTAGGACTTCATTATACTGTTCTGTCAATGATAACGGCCAAAATGTTTTTATTTAGGTGCTTTAATGGTTTATTTTACATATAGAGTGACTATTTGAGAATTGAAAGACTCTATAACGTGGACATTTATCAGTGACACGTTGATGTGACATGTTCAATGACCTCTGGCTTTGATTAAAGACTTGCTAGTTAAGCTACTGAAGCCCATGTTAACAACACAAGAAGCAGAGCATAGCTTTTATGTGTAGTGAAGAAAAAGCTAATCATGATGCAAAAAGTGCCATAAAGTACTATGAGGTTATTGTCTGTATTGCTGACACATATAGGACAACATTTTGAAAGTCCACAAATGCCATCAAATTCAACAGAATTGTGCCTTAAAGGAGGGGCGTTTTTCGGCTTGCTACACTCTAATTACACTATAAGTACCTGGATTACACCTTTCTCTCCCTGTATTTCTCTCTTCTCCTTTTTTCACAGGATGTTTTAGATGTTGTGCAACAGAAACAGATGTTCTACTTTTCAGTTCAATGTCAAATAACACAATAGTCTACTGTTCATAGACAAACAAACTCTGACAGGGAGTACCTGAGGTTATATTAGGGCTTGTTTTTCAGCTTATTTTCATAGTGTCAGCTGCGTGTCCCACGGGCGGGTTACACGTTGAATGTTGTTCTTGAGAACCTCAGCCTTCAACTGTGATGGCAGATTTTAAGATTTCATTTTCCAAGGAAGTAATGCAGGATGGATACCAAACAATCCAGGGCTCACAGTTCATTATGCCAAGTGTGAAGTTGGCACGAGTCTCATTTCACGTCCTTTTCTTCTGCAGACTACTATCAACAATCAGTTAATAATACCCTGGTCCATTACACTCCTTCAGGCTGCAGCAGTGTACAGTGAAGGTCGTCTTTAATGCTCACTTTATATTTATCATTACAATTTAAAAAACATGGACACATGTTCATAAAGTGTGCAACAGCGTGCTGCATCTTCATAAGCGTCTACATAACGTATAGCCCATATTTAGCACTTACAGTATAACGAAACACAAGCATAATCTGAAGTGTAAACTAAGAAAGTGTAGCTAACAGTGCTTCGTAGCATCACAGAAGCTGGTTGGTAATTTTTCAACAAGTAAGGACAACAAAGGTATTATTACTGAAGGTAGCATACTCACAAACTCTATGTCTTGACTTCCAGGTTTAGAGGCAATGAAGGACAGATGTGTCAAATATACTTTAGCCAACAATATTTGGCCATTTTTTACTGTAGGTTTGTATTGCTGTACTATATGTTACTATAAATATTCAAATGCTTTTTTTTTAAATGACTCAGTTTCTTTGCATTTTGGAGTTAGGTGAAAAGAAATGACTTTGGGATTGAGTTTGCATTTTCAAGATACTGGCACCGAATGAATCAAGGCACATAAGGGGCTCAAAGACAAACCACAGAGAGGTGAGTTTTATTGGTTTAATCATGTGTGGTAAAGTGGTGTAGGATTAATAAATATACATACATGTAAATTGCATGGAAAGGGAGAGCTGGGCAAATTACCTTGAAAGTCACACGCCTGTGAAAAAAACGTTTGTTTACTGCAGAAAACAAAAACAGCTTAATTCAACACTTTTTCCACAAGATGTGGCGACTTCACAACTTGGAAATAATAATGGGTTGCATTCAAACTTTGAGATTTCTTTTTTTTTTTATTGATGGCAATTCAATTCAAGGAGGACACTGGGGAAAGGGCTCCACATGACTCACCATCTGTATGGTTTTCCTTTGTTATATCCAGGGTATAATGCACTGCATGCCTGGGCCCGGTACATCTTCCTACATGTTTTCAAATGAATATGGTGCAAGTTTATTTGCTTCTCTTCTACAACAGTTTCCTTCAGGTCGTTGTTACCTTACAACCTGATGTATTTACCTGTCAGCCAAACAACTGTGACTTCTGTAACTCTGTTTTTAAATCTCCCAATGATGCCTTACTCTTTACCTGCTTACACTACCGCATGCTGATCTTTCATTGCTTTATCTAAGTGCCAAATCATGAAGGTATCATTTAATCGCAGCCTTCAGTGTTTGAGCAAAAGCATAACCATGGCACTGTCAACAATGTAGACAGATATCTAGTGATGCTCTAGTTGCAACGAGCAGTTGAGCTTAAGAAGGCTTCTGTTATGATTTTAAAACTGAAATCGAAATGGTATGTTTAGCAGTGATAACCAAGATTTTTCTTTCAAGGATATGTTTGCATTGTTTAATCTTAAAACTGTTTAACTTTAGGTTGTGTTTCTTTAAAAATAATCTGGACCGTGAACATTGTCCCTGATCTTTTAAACTGGAGATTCATCAAAAGGGGATTTCTTCAGGTCCAGTATGGACTTCAGGAATGATTTTAGTGATGAATATCTTCCTTTACAAACATATGGGCATGTGATTAAGTCCAAATTGACACCTATTTTATTTAAATGTTGACCCTATTTGGAGGAACGATGCAGATGTGAAAACTGTACTGATGAAATGTATTATGATTGCTATTTTAAACATGCCAGTTATCATCTGTCAACATTTCGAGCTTTACTTTAAGAACGGTTCTATCGATTGGGCAAGGCTTTTTTATGATGTATCGAAGCAAGTTAGAAAAGATGCTGTTTATTGGTTTTGGGAAAGCCAGTGATGGGTCATGCCCTTTTTTTTCATTACACTTCCTTTACAGCACCTGTAACAAAAACATAATAGACATTCAGAAATGTGATTTTCGATGTTATGTGTTAACCTCAAGCGGTGTTCTGCCTCGTTGCACTAGATCTGGACCTGTCATCCTTTTTTTGTATCAGACCTGCCCTCAGATTTATATAATTTAGGATTTAACAACTGTCATCTCATCCAAAGAAAAGAGTGAAACAGTGAGTCATGTCTAAATACTACACTGCCAAGAAAATTTGAGCGTTTGTATATAAGCGTTTTGTATTTATTTGTAATGACTCAAATGCATGCAAGAATAACAAATGGCTCAAGCTGAACTTCTGTACATATCATCTGTAAAAAATCCAGGGATTTCTTAAAAAAACATGGTCAATATAAAATAAAGTCAAATTCTGTGCAGCCCAGTCTTTCTTTACTTTACTTGCATTGACCTCAGGATCTGCCACATACAGTAACTTAAAGGGCCCTATTGTGCTCATTTTCAGGTTCATAGTTTCTTTGCTGTTTCAATGCTTTAATGTTCAAAAAGTGTTTGTTTTTTCTCATACTGCCTGTGATGCAGCTCCTCTTTTCGAACCTGGTTGTGAAACCACAACCCAGTCTGCTCTGATTGGTTAATTGGCCGGCTCTGTTGTGATTGGTCAACCGCTTAGAGATGTCCCGACCCTTAGCCTATTGCGTACAATGTGTGGAAGAAGTGTTACATAGTGATGTCGGTATGTTATTGAGGTTAACAAAGGAGTCCAATGGAGGCTTTACAGACAGGGGTGGAGTGTAGTTTAGGATTTTAGCCTCTGGAGACCATCTACAGAAAGAAGAAACCCCATAAAAGGGCCTCTTTAATGTGCCACCATCTGCTGATGCAGTTCTTTATTGTGGAAATATACCAGCTTGTTATACATATAAGCAAAGATTCCCCTTGCGTGCATGTGATCATCTCCCTGTTGCAAGATGGAGCAAATTGTGGGAATGTTTAGTTATAATTATAAAGCTTAGCGCAAGTTCTATCAGGATGACTGCACTTGTTATCCATCCTCTTTCAATGCCTCCAATATGCAAATCATGGGCGTCACTCTTTTGATCAAATAATGTTACCACAACCAGCCAGTCATCGTGATGCATGCCTGTCAGACTTTAGATCTATTCTACTCTCTATTGACAAGAACTGACTTTTCAGGCTTCATGGCTGCAGCCCTCCTTCACCTTATTCACCTCCAGTCATCATATCCAGCACCCAGGTTGATCTCCTCACTAAATCCAGACCTTGTGCATCCTCTTCACCCCATCATCAAATACTTAAGATTGATATTGTGGCGTTTGGATACTTAGGACCCCAAAGCAGAGACTGACACAAATAAAGCTTCAATGTGTTTAATAAATAAAGCTAGTCCAAGGCAGGTACTGAAGACAGGGAGCTGGCTGGCTGCAGAAAGGTCCAAAAACAAAGCAGAGGGAAAACATGCAGGCAAAAACTCAAAAAGTTGCTAAAAAACTGCAAAGTGAACAAAACTAGACTCAAGGCTGCAGAAAGGCACTCTGGATCGTCCAACAGCATTTTATTCTCTGGCAGAGAAGTGAGGTGAGGGCCAGGCTCTTAAAGAGAAGGTTGATTAGGTGAGTGGGAACAGGTGTGCTTCATCTGCAGCCAGGAGAATACCAGCATGCCCCCTGTCACACACCAGCCCTGCAGAGAAGGAGAGACAGAGTAGTGAGGGGTAAAAGGAGCAACAACAGGAAACAACACAACAACCCCACGCATAAACATAACAGATATCACAAGGGGTTCTAATCACCTTAAGTGTCACGACCTCGACACAAACTGGAGAACCCAAATGCACGAACCAGAGATAAAGTCTTGAATGTAACAAAAATGTATTTTAATTTCAAAGAACCGATAATCCCTCTTAACAGAATAGTTACTGAGTTTAACAAAAAGCACTCACAAGGAGGAAAAAACAAAGTGTAACAAAAAGAGAACTTAAGAATAACTTAAGACAACAAAACCTGACATGGGTAAAAACTATCCTTTCTTTGCTGAGGCTTGGCACGACCACTCGGGGAAACAAACAAGACAAACTGACACAGGAAAGGGGAACACAGGACTATTTAAACATGAGGTGAGTGGGAACAGGTGGAAACAATCAGGGGCGGGGCAGACGCTGACGATGGTGGGAAAACACACAAGGGGAGGAAGTAACAGGGCCTGAAATGAAAGACAAGAGGCAAGTACAAAATAAAACAGGAATATGGAAAACGAGACATGACATGAAACACAGGGACTGACTAGAGATGAATGACCTAAATAGACAGACATGACATGAAATAACATGAAAACCTGACTTGACATAAATACCTGACTAAACATGAAATGACAGACATAATACATTATCAAAACTAACACATTTGACGAGACACAACATTAAGGCTTTTCCTGATTGAAATACAGTTATATAAGCACTGTAAGTCAAAACAAGAACACCAATTATAATCTTAAATTAGGTATCCAGCTGCTCAGGGTATGTATTTGTGTCTCTTTACCCTTAGAGCCCTTTTCAGCCTATGGCCATTAGCACTACTGTATGTCAGCACTCAATCTGCAGGAATTTAAAGTTATAACAATCAGGCAAAAGCATTTTTCTTGTTTAGGGCTTGGTTTTACAGTCAATGCTTCACTTTTTGCCACTTTTCACTCTGATTTTGAATTAATGTTTAACTAAGCTGTACTGTTATCACTTAGAGATATCGCAATCCACTTCGTTTAGACTTAATTTGCCACACAGCTCAACTATAAGCTGTCATTTTAGCACAAAAACTCTTGGGAAAAATAAATCATTGCAACTGTCAAGTTGATCCAGTATGAACTT